CACGTAATCCCTCATTCGCCTCCATTATATTCAGGGTCTGAATGTTTTCCTTCTCAGCTCTTTAAACTCTCATATCTGTGACTAAAAACACTGTAGACTCATAAAAACGTTCGTGTTCGGTCACCAGAAGGTTCTGACATTTATGGGTCAAGAATTGTTTCAGTACAACTTAAAGTTTTTACGCAGCAGCTGAGATTTAAGGGATCCCGTCGTGACTCAGCTTTTTGAATATGGAGGCTAAAAGTATCTCAACTAGGGGTAGAAAAGCATTTTTCACCGAGATGATAGAAAACAACATTTTGTACATGTTACAAAGACATGGAGGAGTTCATAACCGCGTACTGTTGGACTCGGTAAGACAATTTCACAGGAAAAAATGGACTTTCACCTCTTCATTTCTTAGTTTCTTCAATGCCAGATCTGATGTGTTTGTAAAATGGAGTGGAGACATCAAAAAGTGAGAAAAACGTCACTGAAACAGAGAAATGAAGATCTTTAAAATCTAAACGTATTAATTCCTTGGTCTTCGCCCTGACCTTCGTGTACCTGCTCAGGTGTGCTGCGGCTCCTGCTGCCTTCCAGCTGTGGGTTCTGGTCCAAGTCCTGTCATCACTGCAGAACCAGCTGGACTATAATAACAGAGAGGGATGTGGGAAAAGTAAAAATAGGGCATAGGTCAAAGTAGGGCAGGATAGAGTGATGGTTTAGAAGATGGGAGGCAAAGATGGAAGGACATCCAGAGATTTCCTCCACAGCAGCGTCTCACATTCACTGTAAAGTCGCATAAATTAGAATTATAAAAACAGATTTGTTTAATATAAACATGCCGATTTGGAGGGAAAAACTGTTTTGGATTTAAAAATGTATCGAAGTTGGTGTAACTGCAGTGGAAAGGCTTTCTTTGCAGCCATGTGATCAACAACCAGATGTTACTACTGGCACAAACAACGAAGACGACGTCATACGAAGTCATAATATTTCAACAGTAAAGTCATAAAACGAGAATAAAGTGGAGATAAAGATAAGTCGGTATTGTGAGAATAAAGCCAGAGTAATATGAGAAGTCATAATTTTTCCACAAAATAAAGTAAATATTACAAGAATAAAGTCATTATGACTATTCCCATAATACAACAACTTTACTCTCATATTATTTCTGGTTTTTCTCGTACGACTTTATTCTGGTATCTTTATTAATTTTGAGGTCTTTTTGTTTTTTCTTAGTGTGGCTCTAATATTTTAATGTTCTGTTGAACCTCAGCAGTTTGTTATATTTGTGAAACACATTAACAGTGAATCTCGACCTCCTAGCTGCTGCTTTTGTGTCCAGTCGCAGCATAACTAAATACTTTTGTGGTTAATAAATATGGTTAAAATCAGGAACTGTCTTCAGCCCTGACATGCGGTTTGCTGCTCCGTCTGCCTCTGCAGGTCCTCAGCGACGTTCTGCTGGACCTGTACCGGGCCCTGAAGCTGGTGGTCCGCTCGGACCCGGACCCGGCCGCGGTTCTGCACGCGCAGCTGGCTCTGGAGGAGCTGGACCACGTGATGAGGAGGTTCGTCTTCCCAGAGCAGAAGCTGGAGAAGAAGATTGTCGTCCTGCCGTAGAGCTGAAGCCAGTCGGTTTGAGGGACAATAAAGGATTTTTCTGTTCTGCGTCGATTTGTTTTTCATCTGGTGTCTTTTTCTCCTTAATGTTTTACTTTTTTTAAATTTACTTCAGGTTGGCAGGCAGGTTCTGGCAGTTATCACACTTGAAAATGAAAATTAAACCATAACTTGGTTAATCCCAGTTAATATATTTTCACATTGGGCCAAGTTAGTTTTAACATTTTTTTCTAAATAAATAAAATTGTCATTGTTTTTTACCAAGGTGATTTTTGACTTTACAGTGTTTGATTTGGAAAATGAGATTTGTTTTTTTTTTAATCTCAATAACACTGGTTTCCAGCTAAAGATCGTAGTTCACTTGAATTAAGATAAAACTAACATAAGTAGCTTTTCAGCAGGACATATATGAGAGCTTGTCTAAGTCATTAATTCCTTAATTATTTTAAAAAGTTTCACTGGCAGATTATTTCTCTTATGGGAAAAATGTGATGAGTGAAAAAAACCTGCCAGTGCAACAAGTACTTATAAAATCAATATTAAGGAATTATTGACCTGAAACAAACTATTGTATCTTGTTGAAGGGCAACTTGTAAGTTAGTTTTGAGTTTTGTCTTAATTCAAATGTACCAAGACGGAGGCGCTAGAAAATAGGACAAAACTGCTCATGTCTTCTGGGTCAACTTTTCAAACAAAATGCTGCAAACAGATTTTTAAGTATAAAAAGTTAGTGGTTTGTGTACCACTAAGCAAATATTAGAGGTCTGTGGGTAAGTTTCAGCCTTTCTGTATAATTTTGACTCGATTTTGAAATTGCAGTCTTACGTTGAACAACTATTCCAAGCTTTTATAAATTTTAACCAGAAAAAATGACTGCAGAATCTTAAGCAGGAAAATCTAAAGAAACAAAGCCAGGTCAGGAGTTGTATACCATGAATCAGGAGGAGCCTGAATGAGTCTCGCACTCAAAGGTGTCTTTATTTTTCTCCTACTAGATGTTTAGAAGCCCAATGAAGTCTGGACTTCATGGCGAGAAGATCTGGGCAGAAATATCCAACAAAGGCCGCGCTGCTTTGTGTCAACCAGCCTATGTGTGGTCTGGAGTCTGACGGAGAGGAATTCCTTCTTTTGTTGTCGTTTGTTTAGCAAAAGGCTAACAGGGTTTAAGGGTTGACCCCCTCGTCTGTCTCTATATGAATATGCAACAGTCTGAGTTGTTTGCAGTCTGAGATCTCTCCCACGGCGAGACTCTGATGTTTTACCAGAAAAACGTCATGCAGAGCCGCTTCAAATGCTTAAAATCCTTCCGTCTGCCTCCTGCAGAGCCGGGCAGCTTCTAGTTGCATTTACTCAATTACATTTACTTGAGTAACTTTTTTGAAAAAATATAAATTTTCTTTTACTTGAATAATTTTATCATGAAGTATTTCTACTCTTACCTGAGTAAAATATCTGAATTTTCTGCCTACTGGGTGAAAAAACCCACCAGACACAGACACACTCCTGCAGCTCCTGTTAACGTTTTATATTGACAGAAACTGATTTGGACATTTTTCTTTTGCATCATTTTATTTTTTGTTGCTTATTTGAATTATTGTAATTTTCATTCTTAAAGCACCAAAATGTCCACTTTATATTTTGGTCCGTCTGATGTAATATTTAAATATCAAATGATTGATAAGTTGATCAGTTACTCAGAACCTGAGTAACTTTTTGCCAAATACTTTTTTTACTCGAGTATTTCTTGGACAGATACTTTTTACCTTTAGTAAAAATACCTTGAAGTAGTGCTACTCCGACTTGAGAACAATTTTTAGGTACTGTAACCACCGCTGGTCTCGTGCCTCAGAGACCCAATCACTGCAAAAACACAACATCTCACCAACTATTGCTGGTTTATTTTCTAGTGCAAATAAGTAACTTTTCAGCAAGATATGTGATAATTCCTTAGTACTGATGAAAACATTCCAGTTCCATTGGCAGATTTGATTCACTGTTAATTTTCCCGTGTTGTAAGTCAAATAATCTGCCAAGGGAACCAGGACTTTCTCATCAGTATTAAGGATTTTTTGAAACAAACTCAACGTTGCTTGTAAGTTAGTTTTGTCTTATTTCCAGCTATTTCTAGACCAGAAATAACTCTGTGAACAAACTTATCTAAAGTCTGCAGATGTTTTCAGAATGAGGCAACATGCAGATATTTTGGCTCTGGAGTTTTCAGAGTCTATAAAAGGAGAAATGGTTGACAGTTTTACACTGAAAGAGTCTCCAAAATCTCATAAGTTACAGCTTGCTGGTGTGAATAATAAGCTGAAACACTGCAGGGTTTTGATGATGCATTAAGACGCCAACATGGTTCCCATGAGCCCAGAGGATTGATAAACCACCAACATATGGCAACAGAGTTGTTAGAACATGAATGCCGCAGAAACACAAAAGTAATTTTGGTCTAGTTCCCTTCGCACATATCTTGGTATGCTTAAAATACACCAAAACTAACTTATGAGTAACTTTTCAGTAAGATATAAGAGTTTGTTTTAAGTCAATAATACTTTAATACTGGTGAAAATAATAATTCCACTGGCAGATTATTTCACTCACAACACGACATTTTTCCTTGTTATAAGTGAAATAATCTGCCAGTTAATATTTAAAAACTATTAATCGCTTAAGTCAGATAAAAAAAATTGGCACATTTAATTAATTAAATGCAAAATGTATATTTTTGTACAGTTTTGATGCAGTTACTGCTCTGAGTGTTTTGTTCTTCCAGCAGACGGCCTTTTTTGAGTCTATGCTGGTTAACAATCAATTACCAAATTAGTTGACAACTATTTCAATAATCAATCTATGATTAATCTAGTATTAGTGATTAAATTTAATTATATTGAAACACTTAATATGATTTATTATAGTTAATCGTTAATCGATTAAGTTTGTATTGAAATAACTGATTAATCACAACTAATGGTGATTATTTGAATTGATTATTCAAATAATTAACTAATTTTGTATTTTAATCAATTATCATGATTTATCTATTAACAGATTAAGCTTACTTATATGGAAATTAGTCACAATTAAGCCACTTAATTGTGATTAATTGTAAATTAATCATGATTAATCAGTTGTTAATTTATCAAATTCAAATATACTGAAATAATAGATTAATCACAATAATTAAAATAATCATGATTGATTGTTAAATTTATATTGAAATGAGTTAATTAAATTTAAATATATTGATATAATTAATTAATCACAGTACGATTAATTGTTTCAGTCCTAATATTAAGGAATTATTTATCTAAAACAAGCTCCCATGTTTTACTGAAAGTCACTTGTATGGTAGTTTTGTCGTTTTTGAAGTGTAATAAAATATTCGCACTAGAAACTGGACCAAAAATACTTGGTAAAACTTTGTGTTTTTGCAGTGCTTAATGTGGTTAAATCCTCATGTGAGGAACCTCGTCACTAAAATGACCTTATCTGTTTATCTGCAGTCCTGCTACTTGACCTGAATGAAATGTAATTGAGTAGCGTGGATAGTATTGATTCCCAGAGCCGCAGCGGTTTGTCCGACCTGCAGGACGTCAGCAGGGAGGAACGGAGGAGAAGGTAGAGGGAAGACAAATAAAGCCATAAAGGGATGCTTTGAGTCAGCCAGAGAGGGGTGGAAGCTGGAGGCTGCATTGCAGACAGAGAGTGAGCAGGTTGGGGTGCTGGAGGAACGAAGCGACAAAGATTCAGGCTGCAGAGAGAAGCTGATTCTGCAGAGAGGAGAGCGGAAAACCTGAATCTTTGACCCTCAGATTTCATCCTTCAGGGCCGACTGTTGGGATCAGGAGTCGGGATGGAGAGTAACTGCAACCCAAAAGCTGCAGCGACATCATCTGCAGGCTGAAAGCCTCGGATCAATCCCAGCTTGGGGGGTTGGAGGGTCTCCATGCCCCGGGACGGGACCAGGAGCTAGAGGGAGGAGGGTAGGCGGAGGAGGCCGGCCCCCAGGCAGGGAGGAGGGTGGCGGGCTGAGCTGCCAGCTGTATTTTTGGATGTGGGATCTCCTGAATTAAGCGAGCAAGCTGGAATAAAGATTTAGTGTGAGCTGGAGAAGGGAGGGGGCCAGAACAAGGAGAGTGCTGTGCTGAGGAGAGGCGACGGCTGGACGTCCCGGCTGGACGGACGGAGATCTGGGGGGGAGACGAACACACAGGGTCCACTGGATCAGGAAGGTAAGCACTTCTTTAATGACACACACACAGAGAAACAGGCTTAATTAAACTGAATAAAAGTGAGATCAGACATCTGTGATGAAGCAGGATGAGGTTTGACGTCTGGCAGGTTGATGCAAACGCTGAATGAATGGATGCATTCAGAGACACAAACTGGATGGAAAGTTTGGGATAAGTAGCGGCTCGGCCACAGTGCAGGACAGTGTTCAGGTCTGGGGGTTCATGTTTGCAGAGTGATGCAGAAAGAGAATTTTTCCAGTTTTATTCTGTGGGACTTTTAGAATATAAAGTTGATGGACTGCATCGTTCGACTAACAGTCAATGGAGGGTCAACTGTCTTTCTATAACAGATACATTTTTCATAACATGATCCTACATATAAAGAGAAAAAAACATTTAATTTCAACATTATTTTGTATGTATTGCATTTTTCTGTTATTATAAAATATAACAAAATTGTTGCTGAATAGAAAAATAAAAGATGAAAACATGTTTAACATTCAATTCCTCGTGAACAAATTTACAGTCAATCAGGGATGGTCCTTTATTTGGCTTTTGCGTGTAGCGTAATGTATTGAACCGATACCTGACATTTGTTCTGTATTCTTATAAAAGTCCAATAGTCAGGAATGTTAAAACTTCGCTCCATGACATTCATCAACTCACAACAGCTCTCAAAATTAAGCACGCTTACTTGTACATGTTTCCATTTTTCTCTGTTATGCCTCTTCTGTCATCACATGCTAGCCTTCGTAGCACATCAGTCATTTTTGAAAGAGAAGTTGACGAATGAGCATTAGTAAGTTGAAAATTGGGGAGCTTGTCGAGTGTTTATATTTCAAAACAACTTAATGAGATTTTTGAGGGTTTATATTTCAAAACAGAACCGCATGAAGTGCATTTTGCATCCCATATCGGACTCCGTTTGGACCGTTTCTCTTTCCCGTTCTAGCATGGCCGCCATCTTTGTTGCTGTATTAACCAGCGGCGCCCTCTGCTGGATGGCGGCCACACTACAACAGTAAATTCAGTTCTATTCAAATTCAATGCAGAAACACTTCATTAATCCCAAAGGGAAATTAAATGTTGTTGTAACTCATTAATTTAGATTCTTTAAAGAGTGAAGAATAATACAATATAATAATAATATACTTATATATTATTTTGGATATTTGGATTTTTTGGCCTCGGCAGATTTGTTTGCTGATTTAGAATATGTACCCATATTCTATAGGTACTGTAGCTAAAGGTTGGTTTGTAGTAGTTCTGTGTTATTGCTGGAAAGGTGCCTTATTTTTCCTGCCGTGTCCTAGTTCAGAAATCCCTTAATGTGTCTCCCTCCTGAATAAAAGTGGTGATATGTTCTTTAATAAGCTATTCTTAGTCCTACTTTCAGTAAATCAGCCAAATAGCTTCTGTCTGAACATGACGTCCTGGCAAGAGAAAAGTACAACCTATTTTATACTCTAAGCTTTTATGAATCAGGGCATAAAAACTTTAAAAAGTAAATCCAATCTCTCTGAAAATGATTGAAATATAACCTGAGAGATTTCCTCTTATTGTCCATACCAGATCCGAGTTCTGATTTTAATCGATTTATTGTCACTTTTGTTTCTGAAAAAAAGAAACTGCAAATGACAGAAAATATTTCCACAAGATGGCTTTTTTTCAGTCATAACTTCCTGTGAGGTGTACGACGGAGTATTAGGGACAGACTATGAGAATTTTTAATTACAACAAAAATATAGTCATAATATTAGAAGAACATCTTAAATTTATGAGAAAAAGCTTCCAGAGTTAGAAAGATCCAACATGGCCACCTCAGTCCGTGTGATATTATTTGTGTGATTGCTGTAGGAGAGAACTTTCTTATTCAGGCTTATTTGATAAGACGCCCCCTAGTGGCAACCTGTACCTGCTCTACTTTACTGTGGTTTATCACATTTCCTCAAGCAGTTTAGTGTTTGCAGGCTTGCTCAGCTCTGAATTTTTCTCATCTTACACAAGATTCATTTGCAAAGGAATCGGGAAGGTGGGGGCTGATGGAGATGGAGTTAATCATCACACATTCAGGTTTGTTCTTGCAGAATGAATAAACACTCAGTGTCAGATGTTTCCGCAAAGTTTAAAAGTGAACAATTATAATTCCTTGATCACTATAGTATAGATCTATGGGCTATACAATGTTTTTTTTAAACAAAATCATTCTTAGATAATGAGCTTTTTGTCTGCCTGTTGGAGCTCCTGTCAGAATTAGCTGTTTTAGGCTGTTTCAGGTGCTGCGGCCACGTCCCCCAACTCAACGTTTACACGCACACATGAAAATAGCTGCAAACAGATGCACAATCGTACATCTCTGAACAGCAGAAGTGGAGCCTCCTGTGCAACTAATGAGAATGTAACAAGTTGATTCTGAATGGCAAGTCAACAACTAAATACTTGACTTTTCCAGCAGCCATTGTACAACACATCCAACAGTACAACCAGCTGACCAAACATGTTGGAGCTTAGTTTGGGTTGCTTGGTAACGGGCAGTGTCTCTTAATTTGCGAGGTTTTTAAAATGGCTCATTGTCCATCAAAAAACATTAACTTATTGCCAAAGAAACGTCTGGGTGTTGTTGTTTAAACTACTTGTTTTAGAAGCTGTAGAAACCCAAACTGAGTTACAAAAATGTGCAAAATATGAATTTTGCATAATTCATCCCCTTTAATGTCTTTCAGCAGACGATTTGTTTGTGTTGCTTTGTTTGCTTCCACTAAACTTTCACAATGCTGATAATGTGTCATTGTATTGGGTTTGGTTTCTGGTTTTGTGGTGGTTTTTCTGTTTAGAAAGGAAATCAGCCTTTAATCTGGGATAATTTGGGGATTTTTGTAATTTTTGAGTTGCAATGTACCAATTCCACTGGTATAGTAACTTCCTGGTTAAATCACCTTGAACCGAGAGTCTTTTCTGACTCTCGGTTCCCAGCTCACCTCTCGACCTTCAACCAGCCCTAAAATCAAACTCTCCATGTTCAGTCTCCATATGATGTGACCTTTGACCTCCAGGGGGCTCAGACCTCTGCTGCTGCTTTGGCCTGTTAAATCATCCAACATCTTCTCACTTCAATTCGTCTTCATTACCAAAGACAGACTTGATCCAGACAGAAATCCCAGTAGAACATCAGGGATTCCCAATTAAAACTGTATTATTTTTGCTGTTTCAAAGGGAATATGGAGGGGAAAAATCCAGTCTGACTAATTTATATTCTGTCCATTATATGACACAAGAAACTGTAAAACATGAATGCATTGTCTAAGCTGTAAACATTAGATGTGGGCAGATCTAACCAGCCCTATGATCAAGAAGTATTGGCATTAATAATATCAATACTAAGTCAGGATCAGTATCGATACTAATGTGGTAAGATTGATACTTTAGTTTCAGATGCCTTTGTGAAATGTTATTTATTTTTGTAAACAAAAAGATCTTACTGTGATCTGCTCTCCAATAACTTTTTTGCCATTAATTAGAAAACAATGCACACAAAGTTATGTCTTTATATTGTTTCTGTTTATTGTATAAATATGTTATTAAAGTGTTTTGTTGACATTTGTATACTCCATTTAAATTCTGTCCAAGGTTTAAACAAAATAATTCAAAAGAAAAAACACAACAATGCATACAGGTGAGAAGTTTGTTGATATAATAAAATAATAGCTATTGCTAATGCACATCAAAAACACAAATCTTACCAGTTACTTTTGTCTATTTTCTAGTTCATAATATCTTAGTACACTTGAAATAAGACAAAATTAACTTACAATAAACTTCTCAGTAAGATAAAAGTTTTTAAAAGCAAATAATTCCTTAATATTAATGAAAAAGGTAATATTGTATGTGGAAGATAATTTTACAAATCGAATTTAAATTCACATTTAAAACACTTTTGTACTTCCATTTAAGCATAAAACAGCTCACGCGATTAAAAAAACAGCTGCTTTTTGGAAATAAATTAATATTTTTGGGTGTCTGGAAAATAAGTCGTGTCAAAAACCTCTAGAATGTAACATCACAAATCAGCAGGCACTGCCCGTTACCTAGCAACCCCAGCAGAGTTTTGCTCGTTACCTAGCAACCCCAGCAGAGTTCCACCATTAGCTAGCAACCCAAGCAAAACTTCAACACATTTGGTCAGCTTGTTTTACTGCAGTATGCGCTGTAAAATGGCTGCTGGAAAAGACGAGAGTTTTATTTTTGATTTGCAATCTATAAACCACTTGCTACATTCTTGTTGTTTGCACAGGAGGTTCCACCTATGCTTTTCAAAGATGTACAGTTGTATAATTGTATCTATTTTCATGCGTGACTGTAAGCCTTGAGTTGGAAGACGTGGCCAGCAGCAGCTTATTTGGATTTAAAATGTCAAAATACTCCAAAACAGCTAAAATCTCATTATCTAAGAATGACTTTGTGCAAAAAGTATTTTGTATAGACCATAAACTTATCCTAAGCTGTTCAAGGAAGCATTGTAGGTTACCTTTAATGACATTAAGTTTCCTTTATCTGGGAAAGGCAGAACCTTTTTCTATAAATTGTTCAGCAGTGTTAGCCCATGCTAAAATGAGTTGCAGGTTTAGAGAAGCCAGGATTCGTACAAAGCTCTGATTTCTGATTAAAGTCTGTCTCAATGGCTTTGATGACACATGAGCATAACTATAGAGAAATGTTTGGTTCATTCTGTGAAATTCTGCTGGGGGGGTTTTCTGTCAGGAATGTCATTTATCCCGGATCATCCACAGTGAAAATCGTTCAGATTGGGCGATAAACGTCTGAATGTGATGTCAAGAAAGTCAGTGTGTCTGGGCTGTGAGAGCGGCCAGGTGGGGGCTGGAGGTCATTTCATGAATGAAAGGGCAGAATTGTTCCTGTTTCCACTGGTGCTGCGCTCCGGACAAACCCCGCCTGGCCTTTAATTAGAGCTATTAACCCAGAGCGGGGCGGACTGGGAGGAGGGGACTGGGCAGACTGGTAGCAGGAGTTCGCCTGTGACGATGATGATGGAGTGTTTTCAGATGAAGGACGTTCATGAAAGCTCAGGAAATGATGTGTCACTCGGCTAGGATGAACAAACTGTCCGGAGACGAGTTTCTCTGAACCTGTACTGGAAAAAAAACATAAATTTTCCTTATGTGTCAGGAAATGGAAAAGATGTCGACTAGGCCTGTCGAAATAAGCAATAAATCAATTAATCGCATGACAAACTCAATAATTTTCATTTGCATTATTTATTGTTTTTCTCTTTTCTCTCTTTCTTATTAAAACCTGCATGACAAAAGTCGTCAGTCTGGAGTTTTGGTCTCACCTTGCCTTTTTTTGAAGGATAGTTTTGTTCATAATTAATTTTATTTGTTGCTTCCGTTGTTTTGATGATTTATTTTGGATATTTATCCATGATGTTAAATGTTCATTAAAGTTTATTGAACTTAGGCTTCTCACAATAACAACTTTTGCTGGATGATAAATTGTCCCAGAAGTTATTGTGATAAACGATAACATTGTTGTTCTTCAAGTATTATAGTGGTAATTGGAATAATAACACATTCTCAAAGATAAAGGTCAGGACTTTCTGCTTCATTTAACATAAATATTGTGTTTGGTTGATCTGTTGATTGTTTTTGGATTAACTGATTAATAATTGGATAGAGAAATGTGCCTGGTGTGAGATTTATTTTATAGAATAGAGACATGTGAAGGTAAAACTGCCACTTGAGGATTTCTGGGTAAAACAATCATACAGATAAAAGGTTTTTCTCCATCTTAATATGTTTATATTTGTATACAGTTTTGGCTTAATTACTGCTCTGAGTAAGTTGTTCTTTCAGCAAATGTCCTATTTTATGTGTATGACGATTAAACAATTACTAAATTAGTTGAAGATCACTTCAATAATCGATTAATCACGATTAATCATTTCAGCCCTACAATGGTGGGCAGAATTGATCTTTCTCATGCTGACTGGTGGGCAGCAACAGATACTTCTCCAAGGTGTTTACTCACAATGATCAGTTAATCAATGGACATCATTGCTGTTAATCGATTAATTGTGATTAATCTTATTAATTTGATTAATCGTTTCAGCCCTCATTCAAATATTCCATAAAAACTACACCATTATAAAGTTGCTAACCTACAATTTGCTTTAAATGTTTTCAGAATAAGTGGAAATGTTTGCTCACACTCACATTGATCAGTTATTGAAACAGTTTTTATCATTTAATGAGTTTAGTTTTCTCCAAAGTACTTTGCACTGTATAAACGAACTGATTTTTTTGTTGCTTTTCCTCTTATTCCTTCTTATCTGGACTTCCTCCACCAGATGCCCTCTCGCTGCAGGAATGCGCTGAACATCGTGGTCACCACCCTGTTTGCTGCAGTGGTTCTGTTCACCATCCTGCTGGCCTACATCACAGGTTAATAATAATAATAATAAATTTTATTTATAATGCACTTTTCATTAATAAAAATCTCAAAGTGCTACATGGTGCAGCTAAAAACACATAAAATCAACAACAGACAGTCATTTAAAAGTGGAATAGGCTTGTCTAAAAAGAAAAGTTTTCAAGCCGGTTTTAAAATCGGACAATAATTGCGGGGCTCTCAAATAATCCGGGAGAGAAATCAATAGACGAGGAGCAGCCACAGCAAATGCCCAATCACCCATAGTCCTTAGCCTTGATCGAGGAAGATGGAGAAGATTACAGGCTTGGGATCGTAAGGATCTAGAAGTTGAATGTGAAATAAGGAGGTCCTTCAAATAATCCGGTGAGGTTCCATATAGACAGTGACGAGTGATAAGTGCAATTTTATACTGAATCCTCTCAGTTACAGGAAGCCGGTGAAGCTCGTAAAGAGTCGGTGTGATGTGATCAAATTTACGAGCTCTCACTAGGATCCTGGCAGCACTGTCCTCCTGAACACTCACCAGCTGTGTTCACATTGAACATATAATCACCTTAATCGGAATTACAAAAATAAATTAGCTTAATGGAAACATGGAAATTTAAAAAAAACAAACAGAGAACATGTTTGGTGCTAGAACAAAGTGCTTTTTTGTCCATGTCTGAATTAATGTATTCTGCAAAACTGCATTAGAAACATGCGATCACCAACCAGATGTTACTCCAGGCGAAAATGACAAAGAAGACGATAGGAAGTGGTAAGAAGATGATGGTGCACCATATTTTAAAATGTCTTATTGTGTGAAAAAATTATCCAAAAGAGTTTCTTATTTAATGGAAATAGCAAACTTTTTTTTTTTGTTTTGTTTATTTGTTTTCCCCCCCCCCAACTTTAGCGGCATATTGACAAAGTTTTGCACACATTTGTAATGGAAACACAGCCTCACTTAGAGTAGGAATGATGAACCTGTTGGTGTGGGTGGCCCCAAATGAAAATCTGCCTTGGGCCCCAAAGAGTCTTTGGTCGGCCCTGTCCACTGTAAAGTATCCATGAGGAGAAACTGTGACGCTCATGTTTGGTTTCTAAAGGTTACCAGTTCATCCACACCGAGCAGCACCACCTCTCCTTCGGCCTCTACGGCGCCTTCCTCTCCCTCCACCTCTTCCTCCAGAGCCTCTTCGCCTTCCTGGAGCACCGGCGGATGCGGAGCCCGGCTCGGCCTCAGCACCTGCGCCGCTCCGTCGCCCTCTGCATCGCCGCCTACCAGGAAGACCCGGACTACCTGAGGAAATGCCTGCGCAGCGTCCGTCGGATCTCCTTCCCGGGCTTGAAGGTGGTGCTGGTGGTGGACGGGAACCGGCCGGAGGACCGATACATGATGGATATTTTCCAGGAGGTGATGGGCGGAGCGGAGCAGGCCGGCTGCATGGTGTGGAAGGGGAACTTTCACAGCGATGGCACGAAAGGAGGAGGTGTTGGAGGAGGGAAGAGGAGCGCGGTGCACATGGAGGAAGCGTCCCGGGTGGCCCGGCTGGTTAAAGGCCGCCGCTACTCCTGCGTCATGCAGGAGTGGGGCGGGAAGAGGGAGGTGATGTACACCGCCTTCAAAGCTCTGGGTGACAGCGTGGATTATGTTCAGGTAAGAAAAGCTCCTTCCAAATCTCACCAGGTGGTTAAAATTTCGCTTTTCCTATGAAAAATGTCACAATAACATATTTTGCTGGACGATAAATTGTTCCAGAAGTTATTACGATGAACAATGTTGTTGTTTTGAGAAATTTTCAAGTAATAATATCCTAATGGCAAAATAATGCAAGAACACATTCATAAAGATCAATAAACTTTAAATTCTAATGAACATTTAACACTGGAACTTGAAGACATTTTGAATATCCAAAATAAATCAACAAAACAACAAATACAATAATTTATGGAGATTATTTAAACAAAATTGTCCCTCACAAAATGGATAGTTGAGATCAGATTATCAAACTGAAGACAAATTTTGGTAGGAGAAAGAAAAAAAAAATATTGAACTTGTTTTAATTTATCATTCGATTAAATGATTTACTGTTTATTTTGATAGGGCTTTCTGCAACCACAAAATTAAAGGTTTATTTGTTGGAACTACGTGTTAGGTCCAATGTAGATAGAAAATAAAAAGGGATGTAAATTTCTGACAAAAAACTCAGAAATTTTTAGGTTAATTTCAGAAATTTTTTACAAAAATATAAGAAAATTTATGAGCTACAACAATCAAAAAGTTGCGAGAAAAATAAATAAATTTTGAGATTGATCTCAGAAATTTTCTTGAAAAACTTTAATGATTTCTAGTTTCAAAAGTCAAAC